AAATACTGAGAATCTAGAATCTACATTGTGAGAAGTAAAAGAACTGGTCCTTTCAATAAGGAGAAGAGAATACCAAGTGTTAGGAAGAAAGTGGATGGTGAATTTTATTTTAATTTTAAAGATTTATTTATTTATTTATTTATTTATTTATTTATTTATTTATACAAGCACTGGGTACAGTCAGAAGTGCGGGAAGGTTAGAGAATTCACCAGAGCCAGAGCAGGGAACAAAACAGCCAGACTGATGAAATACACTGCTGAGAGGAGGGGAGCAGCAGGCGGCAGGAGAGGTCTGTGCACCATGTGGGATCCTCATTAGGCAGCCAGAGATCGAATCTGCGCTGCAGAGGCTGCGGGCAGCTTTGCAGCCCAGCGCTCAACTGCTGCGCCACCAGGGGAGGTCCAGGATGGTGAATTTTAGACAGTTCAAGTGCTATCACTGGGCCTCCCTGGTGGCGCAAGGGGTTAAGTGTCAGCACTATTAAGCTATCATCAGCCACTGCAACATGAGTTCCATGCCCAGCCAGGGAGCTACCCACATGCCACAGCAGACCTCTCCTGTCTCGCCTGCTGCTCCTCTCAGCAGTGTATTTCAGTAGATCTGCCTGTATTGCTTCCCACTCTGTCTCTGGTGAATCTTCTCCACTCGTGTTCCTCTGGCCTACATCCCAGTTCTTGTATGCATAAATAAATAAAAATAAATCTTTAAAAAAAAAAAAGGTGCTATTACAGGGAGTAGAGATGAGTTCCGAAGTACTAAAAAACAATCAAAACCAAAACAAAAAAAACCCAAAATCCCAGCTTATTGTAGGGATCAAGAGTACAGGCTCTGGGATTGAACAGATCTAGGTTCAAATGTCGACTCTACTATTTTCTCTCTGACTTCTGCCAATCTCTTGACATATCAGTGATCTTATGAGTAAAATAGAAATAATATATCAGTACGCACCTGGAATGGTTAATGCAGCTATATTAAGAGTTGTAACAGGCATATTGTGTTAGTGATTTTCACAATCAATGTTTATTTCCCATTTATGTATAGTCTCAAATGAGTGTCCTTGATTCACAGGCTATGTTCTTTTTTTTTTTAAAGATTTATTTATTTTATTTATGCATACAAGAACCGGGGTACAGGTCAGATTGGGGGGGGGGGAGAGGATTCACCAGAGACATAGCGGAGAACAGAACAAGCAGATCTACTGAAATAAACTGCTGAGGGGAGCAGCTGGTGAGACAGGAGAGGTCTGCTGCCATGTGGGTATCTCCCTGGCCAGCCGGGATCGAACCTATGCTGCAGAGGCTGCGGACAGTTTCACAGTGCTGCGCTCAACCGCCTGCACCACCAAAGAGGCCCTCGCAGGCTATGTTCTAAGCTATGATTCAGGGACCCAGGGCTCCTCCCATCTGTGGCTCTGCCATCTTTACCTTAGACTTCTGAGGTCTCTGTGGAAAGGGAAAGAGCAAAGAAAATCATGCACAGCTGGTTGTCACAAGCCAGCCCTGAAATGTTACAATCATTTCTCTCTACATGTCATTGATCAGACCTCAGGAACATGGCCACATTTAACTACAGGGAGGGTCAGAGACATGGTCTCATTGAGCATCCGGGAGTGAAGACAGATCTTGGCCACTTTCTGACATAAGGCTGCTATGAGGGTTGATTCAAATGGGGCAAGGAGAATGCTTAATCAGTCGGTGCTCAACAAATTGTTGCTGTTAAGGAAATTTGGAGAATAAAAGTCAGTCCCAAATTTTAAATTTTAAGAAGGCAGATTTCAAATCAAAGAGAGAACATAGACATAATAATATAGTTTAAGTATGACTTCTATGAGGTAGTAAGGTACCCACTACCAGAAGTTTTCGTAGAGGAGGTTGAAGGAATACTGAAGGGTTATTAGGTGGCTTGTTGGACTAGATAACTTTTAGACAGCCTCAGCAATATCAATTATGTTAGGATGCAATTAAGAGACTTCATTCTAGGTGGATTTATACCTAAATGTGGTACATTAGACACATTGACATCCTCTTTCTACATTCATCTTTGTAACCTGGCCTGTTCCTTAACAGCTCGTGTCAGCGGTAACCTCAGAAGATTTCACCAAATAAAAGAATGCCACATCCTGTCATTTTGCTTGATTTGATATTTCTGTCCTTATCCCCATGCTTACCTCCGAGGTTCTCTTTTTTTTTTTTTTTTTTAAGATTTATTTATTTGAAAATATAAGAACTGGAGTATAAGCAGGTGAGAGGATTCACCAGAGACAGAGTGGGAGCAGAACAGGCAGATCTATTGAAATACACTGCTGAGGGGAGCAGTGGGCAAGACAGGAGGTCTGCTGAGCCCTGTGGGTTAGCTCTCTGGCTGGGGATCGAACTCATGCCACAGTGGCTGCTGATAGCTTGATAGCACTGAGACTTTAACCCCTGCACCACCAGGGAGGCCCACCTCTGAGGTTTTCAAAAAAACTGCGTAGAACTTACTCTTGGGGCCTGAGATTTGAGTTCTCCTTTGAAATAACTGAAGACACTGTCATGAAAACAAATCTGAGGATGTGGTAGAGGATTGCTCCTATGCACTGAGGCAAAGCTTGTTTTCTTCTGACCTTTATAGACTGCATTTGATAGACTTTTCTGCAGGATTCTCCCTAGAGTATATGTGGACTTCTAAGGGCTTTTCCTCAAGCTTCTGTCAACTGTTTATCTAGTTATTGAGTAAATCCATAAGTAGACAGGGATGACTTCTTAAAACCGCAATGGGCAAAATACATTTTCTTTAAAAAAATATTTAGGATCTTTTTAATATTCTATCACTGAAGAAATATGATAAAAACCTGAACTGCCTGCAGTGACCTTAGATTTACAACTTGCTACCAACTCCCAGTTTCAGAGGCTATTATCTGGTGCGGCCTGGAACACAGTATAAATTGAATTAAGAAAAATGGGCTTGTGAAAAATGGCAAAGAATAAGATCAGTAGGCTGCCATGTGTAAATAAAGGGAAGTACACAACTATCTACTTTTATATGTTAGACAATGAGAGCATTAGACATCAACCAGACATTCTTAAAGGACAAGAGTTGCCATTAAAATTGTTCTCATTGTGGTTTACCGACTAAGTTTTAAAATGACTTTCTTGGGGGCCTTCCTGGTGGAGCAAAGGGTTAAGTCTCAGCACTATGAAGCTATTAGCAATCACTGCAGCATGAGTTCACAGGCCAAACCCACATGGCACAGACCTCTCCTGTCTTGCCTGCTCTCCTCAGCAGTGTTTCAGTACATCCACCTGTTCTGCTCCTCACTCTGTCTCTGGTGAATGCTCTCACCCCCAGTTCTTATATGTATAAATAAAAATAAATCTTAAAAAAAATTACTTTTACATATCTGTTCTGTTCCTTTCACCAAATCAGTGTTCAAGTATATAGTAATGAATATTTTTAGTTTCTTGCATGTACAGCAGACTCTCAATGTTTATCAAAAGAAAAAATGTGACAAAAACATTCTACAGAGGACCACTCTTTCCAACTGCTGAAACGTCAATGGAAAAAGCTAATGCACCAATGCAATACAACTAAAATGCAAATGGAAACCTAATGAGTAGTTAAAAAGTCAGAGAAAAATATGATATAAATCATGCCCTCATGTTAAGAAAGTTAGCCATGTCAGTTCATCAAGGTATAGGAATGTGTCTGAAAAGATTATGCTAGAAACAACAAAGAAACTTCGTGGTTGTCATGTATAAACATGACACAATGTACTTTATTTGCTGCAGAATTACTGAATCTTGAGGTTGAAGTTTTGTAAACTGGTTCATTCAACTAGATGAAGTTCAACATAAAATTTGCTTCTTTTTAAGAGGGAAGAATCTTACAAGATTTTAGGAGGAAGCATTTTAAAAGGTCAAGCAGTCACATTAAAAGTAAATGGAAGAGGGGCCTCCCTGACGGCACAAGGGGTTACGCACAGCACTATGAAGTAACCTGCAGCCTCTGCAGCAGGAGTTCGATCCCCGACCGGTCAGGGAGCAACCCACATGGTGAAGCAGACCTCTCCTGTCTCGCCCGCTGCTCCCCTCAACAGTGTATTTCAGTCTGTCTGCCTATTCTGTTCCCTGCTTTGTCTCTGGTGAATCCTCTCACCCTCCACATCTCTGGCCTGCACCCCAGCTCTTGTGTGCATAAATAATCTTTAAAAAAAAAAAGCAAATGGAAGAAATGGGTGAATTTTGTAAAATATGCCTCAAAAGTTATTTTAAAAAGTAAATGGAAAATTTCTGATATTTTTTTCCCTTTCATTGTTCATCACCAAAGATAAATATTGAAGGCAGAGGCTCACAATCTTCAATGCTTAAAATAATCAGACAAGGGAAGGTAAACTTATGCCCCGCTACCATATCTGAAGTAGACAGCCACTAGTTGGCTCCAGTGGACTGTCTTATAAAGGCAATGATTCCAGAACTTCTAATTTTTAAAAGAAGTGGAAAAGTATATTTTTGTGAATTAAAGCAACACTGTGTGAGTCACAAAGAATGCATTTATAGATCAAATCTACCCCAAGGCCACCATTTTGCAAACTGAGCAGAATACCTTGGCTACACTATTTGGGGTGTGTGTATGTGTGTGTGAGCTATACTTCATGATACAGTTTAAAAACGTACATTGAAAATAAATTTTGAAAAAAAACATACCAGAGTAAGAAAACCTTTATAGGCCAAGAATAGCTTTTGTAATGAATATGCTTAGCTTCTCTGTGGGTCAAATAGTATGCAAATTTATAACTATTACCAAGAAAGTGATATTATAACTTGATCTGAAGTGAGGTTCTAGAACCCAAATACTGATGCTATAAGACAATCAGACACATGAGAGATCCCCTGAGCACCTAGGTTCAGGGGCTGACTACTAAAGGTAATTTGGTAAAATGTTAATTAGTTTTCAAAGTCAATAACTGAGCAAAGTATTCTTATAATAAAATAATTATTTTAATGAAGTATTTGAAATAATTTTAAACATCTGATCAATAAGATCATACACAAATATGGGAGTATGCTGCACTTTACAAAAAAAATAAAGCTAAGCATTTAAATATACAAAAACAACTTTAGGTATACAGCTCTTCTTAAAGCACTTTTTAAACATATACACTTTTTAAACATATAACATTTTACATAATTTGCTGAAACAAAAAAAATGTGGCCAATTTAAAACTTACTCTAGTATAGAACATGGCCGTAACAGTCCCAGTGGAAAGAACAGGATGAAGAGTAACATACTTGAGGTGTATTTTTACCCCTGAATTTTAAGAAGCATAGCTTTCCTGTTTTTTAAAACCTTGGAGTAGTCACTCACTCTTTCTGTATGTTTCTAACTACAGCTATTATTTTTATCAGATACATGCCTCACAGGTGGAATTAAAAAAAAAAAAAGGTTTTGCTTTGCAAAAACTTCCTTCTCAGATATGTGTGCGTATATATATATATATATATATATATATATAAATAAATATAACATGCTTCTCATAGTATATTTAGAACCAAGATCTCCAAGAGTGAGATGCTGACATTACCTTTTGAGTATGAATCCAAAATGGGTTCCCTATTGTTAAAAATGTTTAATCATTAATTAGGATTTTTTAGATGCAACAAGATGCTTAAAACTTAAGAGTAACTAAAATTTTTTTTTTACAAAACTATGCTTCTTTATATTTAAAACAATACACAAAACAAACAAAAGCTTCTTCCTTTTGAAATACTGTAATATGAAAATGTTTGATACATTCTCCTTTTTGGGTGAGCTGTTACCTCTTCCTGTCAACAAAGCATGTACCAGTTGCTCTGGAGTTCCAATTCCACCATCACCCCACTGGGGACAGGCAGCACACTGCCTGCTTTATGATTCCATTTTCATTTTCCTTTTATCAATCTGAACACAATGCCCTATCGTTGCTTCCAATACTCTCACCCTTTCCATTTTTCAATGAGATATATCAGCAGCTTCAATTTTAAGGTCTCCCATGCCCCGTTACTTGGTATCAGAAGACCTAGATAGGAATATGAATCAGAGAACAGCAACCTAGACACAGAATATCTCTATTTGTACCATTTTTGACAGCACTAGGACTCAGTCAATCACTGTCAAAATAGGTCCTAGGTTGAGGCGCGTTATAATTAGCTAAGCAACTTTTGATTCCAGCCCAGAAAACCTAATGTTTTGAGGCGGTTTCAGTAAAGGATGAAATACATATTCCTTTGGAAGGGGTGATCTCATCTTTCTCCTGCATCTCAATGCAGGCTGCACTGGTGAAAGATAGCGCACCTATTAACAGTTTGGCAAATGAAGCAGGTAGTTAACACCTAGGGCTTTAACTTGGTATAATTAAATGCAAGGTAGGCAGATGCCTACTTCTGTGTGAAATGTATTTCATAACCAATTTCCAGAAGTCAAAGCTGAATTCCAGTTATTAATAACCCATTGGGCTGTATAGGTAAGAATCAGTAAAAGTTTATAACTGTAAACAACGGTCTTCAATAATGGTGAATATTTTCCAGAAAATGAAATTTCAGGACAGTGCAAGATTGTTCTACACATCATCTTTGGCAGTAAATAGCAAGGATCTGGACGGAGAGTGGAGTGGTCACTTCAGAAGGGCAAGGTATAGAGCTCGTGAATACTTCATCTCCCTTTCCTGTTCCATGCAAAATATTAAGTCCCTGAGGCAGATTCTTGTGATTCTTGGACGAAGCAACTGTTTGGCGGCTGGCAGGCTGGCTGTTCCAGAAGCGAGGTTATCTTTTAAGCCCTAAACAGAATAAAGGGAGAAGTTTAAAACAGGCATTCTTCTATCAGGGGAAAACCTGTCAGTTTAGTATGTAATAGCTCCCAAGCCTCTGGTCTCTGGGTCAGGTACCAGAGATGATATAAAGACGAAGGTCAACCCTGTTCCCCCACAGCATAGTCTCTTTGGGGAAGCCAACAGCCACAACGCTTTTAGTTTTTGACCTCAACCATTCTTTCTCTCTCACCTGACCATAGCCAAAGCTTTTATTTCTCTACTTCCAGGCTCTACACTCCATTTTGGTTGCATACTATAGGCCAGACTTTCTTCTTTAAAGGTCTTACATAAAACTTTTGGCAGAGATGGATGTGGTCTATACTTTGTGGTTGTAATTTCATAGGCGTTTGTATACTGGGGGAAAAAAAAAACCTCTCAAACTGTACACTTTAAATCTATATAGCCTAAAAAAAAAAAATCTATATAGCCTTCTGTTATGTTAATTATAAAAATTAAAAGCCTTAGATAGGTTCAGATCCAACCACTCATGGCTCAAAAATCTTCAATGGCTTGCGGCTGTTCAGGGTAGCTAGCTACTTGAGCACCTGTTAGCTTTTTTTTTTTTTTTAAGATTTATTTATTTATTTATACAAGCACTGGGTACAGTCAGAAGCATGGGAGGGTGAGAGAATTCACCAGAGCCAGAGTGGGGAGCAGCGCAGGCAGAAGAACCGAAGTACACTGCTGAGGGGTGCAGCAGGTGGCAGGAGAGGTCTGCGCACCATGTGGGACCCTTCTCCGGTGGCCGGGAGCAGCCGGGATTGAACCAGCACTGCAGAGGCTGCGGGCAGCTTTGCAACCCAGCGCTCAACCGCTGCGCCACTGGGGAGGCCCACCTGTTAGCTTTTGAGAGCTATGTTACGTGCTCTTTACATACTATCTCTTCCTTTTCATACAACATCATCAGAAGATATATGGGTGCTGTTCCCATTTACCAAATGAAGAAACTGAACTTAGATAAAGTGACCTGCTCAAGGTTATACAACAAAACTGAGCTGGGACTCAGTGAGTATTTTTAGTCACTATGCTGTATTATTTACCAAATCACCTCGCTTCTCTCCAGCCTTACTTCCCCTTGTTCCTTACAAAGCATCTTAACTTTACCCAATAGGCAGATTAGCAAAAGGTCATTCTTGGCCAATCTATTCATCTTTTAAGACCCATAATAAATGAGTTTATTTGCCCTTGTGCTCCCTGCAAAGAATTCTCACTGTGGAAATTATGATAGTAATTTGTATATGCCACCATCACCACTACATACCCACCAGATCATATGCTTTCTGATGATAGAGATTATTATTTCTGTGTCCTCTAGGGTTTGGAAGTGAACATAGGAAAACACAAATTATCCACAATAGTTCCTGAGCTGAATGTACTGTCTCAAAAGAGATCAATGTGAGTTCTAAATATCATTCAAAAAATGAACCCAAAACTGCTGTATTTAGTTTTCTGAATATCAGTATCTCTATACACATATTTTTAAAAAGAAAATAAATGACAGAGAATCTCAAAGGAAATTTTTGGAAAAATGAAATAATTTATTCTTTCATGTTTTTAAAATCACATTATTTTTGTTTCATGAACATCTCATCAGAACTGGCAATCCTTTTCCTCCATCTAAAAGACTTATATGAGAAGATATTTACCTAACTTGGGAAGCAAACCTTTTAGTTACTATTCTCTTATCACTGTCAATTTTTAATTATTCCATCTATATTTTTTGGTTATTTTGATGGAGGGGAGGGAAATCCTTTATGTTCTCCAAACGCCATGGTCAAAACAAGTCAGGGTCTCCTTTGTGGCCAAGGGGTAAAGTCTCAGCACTGTCACCTGCTATCGCCTGAGTTCGGTCTCCGGTAAGAGGACCAGGGAGCTAAACCACATATGGTGCAGCAGACCTCTCCTGTCTCACCTGCTGCTCCCCTCAGCAGTGTATTTCAGTAAATCTGCCTGTTCTGCTCCCCACTCTGTCTCTGTGAATCCTTGTACTTCCCATACCTCTGGCCTACTGTACAAAAAAAAAGAAAAAAAAAAAAGGAAACAACAAATGTTGGTAAGGTTGTAGTGAAAAAGGAACTCTTATCTACTGTTGATAGCAATGCAAGTTGGTACAGCCTCTGGATAACAGTAGCGTTTTCTTAAAATAAAGAACAGAAATTCTGTATGATACAGACATACCTGCATTAGGTATTTATCCTAAAAATATGAAAACTGTAATATGAAATGATTTATGTACATCTATGTACACAGCACTGTTCACAACTGCCAAGTCATGGAACCAACCTAAGTGCACTTCAATGGACGAATAGAGAAAGAGGTTAGGAACATACATTCAATGAAATATTACACAGCTGTTAAAAAGATGAAATAATGGCTTTTGGGACAAAATAGATGGACCATGAGGTGAAATAAGTTAGAAAGTAAAAGACATAAATTGGATGGTTTCACTCATCTGTGGAATATAAATAACCAAAAACACACACAGGTAGGAATATATAGAAGGAATAAATTTTGGACTTAGTGAAGTAATGAATTGGCTAGGGAGGAGGTAAGCAGATGGTGTAATGACATGGTGGTTTGGTGGAGGGTAAGTACACATACGGAGGGGCAAAAATGTAACGTCAAAATCTAGAATAAATTGCAGAGTATTCATAGAAATGGAATACCACAAAGATATAAACTGAGTAACATGGATGAATATCACAAAAATGTTAAATGAAAGAATCCAGGTGCAAGGAATATATACAAGTTGATTCCATTTTATATGAAGTTCAGAAATAGGCAAAGCTATAGAAGATATAGTTCTTGCAGAAGAGAAGTAATGACTAGGAGGGAATAGGAAATGTTTTCTGGGGTTCTGGTGATATTCTCTTTCTTGATCTTAGCACTGTCTACACTGATGTGCTTGTGCTGTGAAAATTTGGTGGATTAACATTATGAGTACTTTTCTGAATCTTCAGGAAAAAAAATTGCAAAGTCTCGTCGAGGTAGGAAATAAAAATAAAAAGGAGCGCAAAGAGGGAGAATGAGGAAGGTAAAATTGTTAAGCAGGAAAAAAAATTAAAGAAACTTAGTCATCTGGGTAAGGAACAAGAGGGTCACAGTTCATGTGTGTCATGTGACAAGCTTGGAGGATCCAGGGGAAAGAGTCAAACTACAGCTGCCAGCACAGGGTTGAAAATGAGGTCATTCCAACAGGATGTGGCAGAAGGCCTGAGGCAATGTTATAAATGAAACAAACCCCAAGGGACATTCAGTAACCCAACAGAATGTCTTTTATAATTCACAACTTTATGAAGGTGATAGCATTCTCTTCTGCCAAATAGTGACTGACTTGGAAAGTCAATCATTCTTGAACCTGGATACAAATATACAGCATTTTCATTTCTGTTTATGATTCGAGAACATCCACAATCTGACGTGTCAGTTTCACAATGGACAGCAAGAATCAGCTACTTCTCAGTTACCCACAGCAGAGAGGATAGAGTGTGCACAGGTAACTATATCCTAAAAAAATTCAAACCTGCCTTTTTACCACTAGTTTAATTTTCTTCTACCCCACCAGGTCTTTACACAAAGTTATTTCAGACTGATTTCTGATTGCACTACACTGTCAATATCAAAGAACACTGAAAGAGTAAAGAGACCAGAGTTTGTAAGAAAGAAAAAAACTCGAGATAATGAAGAACTTGTTTCTAAAATGGAGAGTTTTCTTAACTGACTTTCTACACGAGGATTTTTCTTTATCTGGATTCTTGACTTGGATGAAAATAGGGTAAAAATGGAGTGAAGTTCATGAAGATGAAAGATGAAAGAAAGAATTTAATAGATGTTCTTGAAGTGTAATCACACTAAATGGTAACATACCCTAACACTGCCAGGTCAATTAAGTTAGCCTTCATTAATTTGTTTAATGAAAAATACAGAACATGGCCAGTTGTCAACTTCAGAGAAATAACACCATTTTAAGTATGAAGCCAAGTAATTAGAAGAACCAATTCAAAATTTTATTCCCTCTATAGAGCAGGTGCTGTGAAGTAAAAACTTTAAAAGCTTTTCTACTACTTTTTCCATATTTCGTTATACTACTGCTAAAAGTAATAAGCAAAAATAACATCTTAATGAGCTCAGGTGCTTCATGAGTACTGCTGAGGTTCTCAGTGACTTTAATATGGACCTCAGTTTCCAAAAGCTACTTCCAAGGCAACTGAGCTCCTAGCTAGTCCACATGTTAATTCAAAAGTCATCTGGGTTACCAGGCACTTATTATTGGCAAAGAACTACACACCAGGCAGCTTAATATACAAATAAGACAACCAGGTTTGAACACTGGTTGTCTCCTCTATAAGCAATCTCAGACAAATTACTTAACTTCTCTGTGTCTCAGTTTCTGAATCTGCAAAATAGGGATAGTAACCGTAATTACTTCGTAGGGTTGGCTTGAGAATTAAACGAGAATAAATTTAGTATGTACTCTACAAATGGCCCTTATTATAATAAACCAATTCATTAGTCAATTATGAAGCACTTAAGGTTTATAAGAAAAAGTATAATTGTAGTTCCAGATCTTTCCTTCTATCCCCTCCCTAAAACTAGTTAAAATAGTCCTGTCCATGTCCTATTTTCTTTAAAATCCTAGTTAATTTAAAGAGGTATAATTTGTCCTGCCACACTAGCCTTGTCTGAATCAGTGAAAATTTTAAATTTTAGAGTACACTAATGGATATTTCAGTATTTGGCATGATGAAAGATATATCCCAGGAGAGAAAGTTTTCCATAGGCTCCTCAAATCAAATAATGGAGAGCTTGCTTCTATTGAAGAACCAGTTAAGGTTATCAATACTGTCTATAGATGCTAACATCAACTTCTTTCATTCTATTCCTTGATTATAAGGTAAATGTGATTGTACACACAAATATGTCTCTGATTCTTAACCACAAACCAAAAATAAACACATATATACATA